GAGAGGAGAGGAGAGGAGAGGAGAGGAGAGGAGAGGAGAGGAGAGGAGAGGAGAGGAAGAACCACAAGAAGAGCATTGGATCCAACCTAGAGCTTATCAATTCCAGGATGTGGTTCCCACAATGGGCAACTGAGACATACATAGCAAAGAATCTAGCAAAGTAGTACTCACTTCCACTTGTCCTCTTTGAGACTCCTAATCATTCATTCATTCATTCATTCATTCATTCATTCATTCATTCATTCATTCATTCATTCATTCATTCATTCATTCATTCATTCATTCATTCATTCATTCATTCATTCATTCATTCATTCATTCATTCATTCATTCATTCATTCATTCATTCATTCATTCATTCATTCATTCATTCATTCATTCATTCATTCATTCATTCATTCATTCATTCATTCATTCATTCATTCATTCATTCATTCATTCATTCATTCATTGTTTTAATTAGAGAGATACACATTGGTGGTCATCACCATATTTTGTCCTAGCAAATTCCAGACCCTGACTAGGTACTGTTAAGTATTTTATTTCGCCTTTCCTGAATTTTGCCTGATTCAGCTTCATTAAGGAGCCCTGGATTCCAGTATTAAGAAGCAGGGGGGAAAGCCCTTCCTTATCCAATTTATCCACCCAATTATTAATTCTATACTTCTCAATCATGCCTGTACATATTTGCCTCAAACTTTTTAACCTTTCCTCAGAAGAGAAGAGCTCCAGATCCTTTATCTTTTTCCCTGCCTTCCCCAGGATGTTATCCTCAGGATATACCGGACCTAATTCCCAGAATCCTTAGCCAGTGCAGCGATGCTAGGCAGGGATTCTAGTGGTTGCTCCCATATTGCTGGAGAATACAGGGCTGGGGAAGATTGGTTTAGCCAACGCCTGTATTAGGCCATATCTTAGCAAATTCTCCCTTAAATTCTATTCGTGTATAAAGAAAACAAAAGGAGTTTTTACTTTGACAAGCTTTTCTGAATCACCCCTCCATTTGCTGACAATGGTGGACGCCGAGATGTTGAAGAACGTTGTATTGCATTCAGTGGCCACAGCTTTAGCCAGCAAGGTTTTACCAGTACCTACAAGACAGGAAAGGCAATGTTTATTCTCAGCCTTATTAGACTGTCTTCAATACGTGGTTCAATCCCTTCCCGCTTGGAAACTGTATGCGTGTTACGTTCGCATAACAAATATTTTTCCTTGCAAGGCGCGAAAGGGGGGTTATGCATCTGAGGTCATACTACCAATGAAAAAAACTACTGTGGCTTTCATTAAGGACACTGTCAGCCAAGCTGTAAGACACGAAACAGATAGGAGTGGAGTCACAGAATGTAGTTAAACAGATCGTACCTGGAGGCCCATATAGCAAAAGTCCCTTCCACGGAGAAAGAATGCCTGTAAACAACTGTGGGTACTATGGAAAGAAGAGGAAGAAGACCATCACTGAACAGTGGGCTTTGGGGAGCACTGAGCACTCCTAGCAACTCGTTTTGGCAACCCAACCAGCATTTTTTATCAGAACATTGCTGCAGGGAACATGTAGGAAATCAGGGTGGCTGATTCTGTATTTCTTACCATAGGCCTTAAAAGACAAGGAAAAAAAGCAGATCCTCCCACTCCCACCAACAAGTCTAGCTTAGCTTTAAGGCCTTTAAAATGAGCCCTTCAGCCTACAGAACTTGTTCTCTATCACCAGGGCATGGTTTTTCCCTGAAACAGCTGCCGCCGCCTTTAATCTGGAGCTTGTGGCAGGTTTGGCCTACAACCCAAGAAGGATAACCTGCTCTAGAGCAATACTGAAATTAAAAACAAACAACCAAACAGCTACCACAGATGCTGGCAATGCAGCAGAGGATGCTGAAACATCATCACACTCCACAGATGGCCCAAGTAAACCAATCTGAATTAATTTTCCTCCCCAACTGCCTTCCCATTCCCCACTCCAAGGGAGGGAGGGGGGGAGGGGAGGGAGGGAGGAAGGAAGGAAGGAAGGAAGGAAGGAAGGAAGGAAGGAAGGAAGGAAGGAAGGAAAGGTTATGTCTTGGTTGTGAGAATAGAGACCATTTGTGTGACTTTTAAAAGAGCCTCTCCAGCATTCCTTACCCGTATGGGATAAACAACAGCTTCCTTGACTAACCGCTTGGCTGCATCGAGTCCAATAATATCATTCCATTTCACATTGGGGTTATGAAGATAGATATCCTGCAAGAGATTGTTTGATCTTCTTAAAAACAGGCCTCCTATTTTCCTGTACAAGCATAACAAACACGCAGCAAAATAAGCTCAACCGTGCCATAAAATTAAACAAAGCAACATGAAAAAGGACAGGTTGTTATGCAGATGCTTTCATGGGGACAGAAGGGAAGAGTCAGCTGTTGCTGAACTAGGACTTCCAGCATCTCTCTCCATTAGTCAAGCTTGGCTGGGTCTGCGAGAATTGTCATTCAGCAACGACTGGAGGTTATGGGTGGCTCAGCCCTGCTCTAATTAGTTACTGCAAGAATTCATAGCATGCTCACCTAGGAATAAATCCCAGTGAAATTGACAGGGCTTGTTGTTGGCCCACTCAATTTCAGGCTGCGGGATTAAAAAGAAAGAAAGAAAGAAAGAAATGCTCCAGGAGGGGGTCTCTAAACGCAGGCACAGGGACCACAATTCAGCCTGAAGGCAAGTGCAGTGTTTACCTTACTTAGCAAGTTGGGTGACACTTGCTAGAGAGGATCAAACCTTCATCTGATAGCCTGACGGCCACCCAGAGCAGGCTAATGGAGCAGATTAAACCCCTCAGCTGAAGGTTTCCCACCTGCTGTAAGATCTTGTACGAACACGCACTCTTTTTAATCCTTTCAACTGCGCACCTTTCATTTACATTGGACAAAACCTTTGAGATTAACGTGACTTCAAGGATAATGACTTTTGCAAAAGAGTTTCCATTACCACTTCCTGTTTTTAGAAGAAAAAATCCAGAAGGTAAATGTGTGCATGCTTTGCAAAGGTACAAACCTTTTTTGGGGGGGGGGAGGGTTGCAAAGGTTTTCGAATTTTCAAGGACACAGCCTGTTATATTCTGTTTTTATCAGCAGTGAGTCATTCCATACTCTGGTGCAACCATCTACTGCCATCCTGCCATTCAGGATTGTGCCAATACTGCATTAATTATGGTTTACCCTGGACTGCTTTTTCTAGGTAGATACAAATTGTGCAACTTCCACAAGGTGGAAGAATCTGCTACCACAAGAATGTAGGGCTCAGGCGGGAAACGTTATTCCTGAATTGTCCCCAGTGTAAGAGTATCTATTAATGTTTCTCCTGCCGCTTCTACCCGACTTTCAGTATTAAGATGGACAGCAGGATCAGTTCCTCAATTAAGGAGGCTAGAGTTCAACAACCATCCTCGGTCTGACAAGAAAAGCTCACCTTACTGACAACAGTTGCAAGCTCCCTCATTTCTGCTGTCATCCCAAGTAAGGCGCCCAAAGGTTTTAACAGTCGTTCCTAGAAACATGGAAGATACACGCCAGTTGCAGAAAATACTGTCTGAGTTGACTCCTGGACTGTATATCCTTGGCTTCCTTTTACCTATCCTAAAGGCCGATATGCTAGTGGCAGTCTTAGGTTTTTAAATGGTAATTTGCCCAAACGGCCTCAGAAGAAAAGAATGCCATCTGAAAGTCCCAAAGGCCATGCTGAATCTGCAGTTCCTCCCTCAGAAATGGAGGGTATATTACAAGGGTCCAGCATTCCTGAGTCCCATGCGTCTGTGCCACCTTCAGCTGCGGTCTCTCCTGCCACCCCCCACAAAATCGGAGACAGTCATATTTTGGAAAGCTGACCATGGCGTACAGTTTGGGAAGAAATCCAGACGCAAAAGCAAAAAGAGGGACCAGGCACAGCTGTAGTTGGTTAATGCACAGTTCCCGACCCTTTTCTCTTAAATTCTGTCTCCATGCTTTTTAACCTTAGGAAGCAAAAAATATTTTGCCATTCTAATTAATTTGGGGAAATCAATTAAGTGTGAACATTTTACTCTCACTTTGCAAAGATACAAAGGATACAGAATATTATATTCTGGTTTTATGTGCTGGAAGCCGTTCCCACACATCAACATTACTGATCAGAGTTTTACTTCTAATTGAAATTATTACTTCCAAATAATGAATGACTTTTACTGGCTACTGGTTAAAAAGAACATCACTTACCGAAGGATCTGGATTGCAGTTAAGGCTGTGTAAGGCAATTTCACTGGAAGCCCCTTTGATAGCATCGTGAATTAGCCCACGGAAGTCAATGATTTGGCCCTGCAGGAGAAGCAAACGTCATCTCCTAAGCCTGAACTCTCAGAGTTCTTGAGAGACGCTAGGCAGCCAGCCAAGAAGATATCAAGCTAAACCAAAGAAATTTATGTCATAGCCAAGGCCAGAGCTGACTATCTAATATGCCCAGACATGTTTTTAATCTTAGCACCAGAAGTTGGAGATTGCCACCGACATGATTTCTCTGGCTTGGCTCTGTATTGCTTTGCTTGCATTACCTTGGCTGTGAGAGCCAGTTCTCAGAAACAGAGACCCTGATGGCCGACCAGTCTGTTACCAAAAGAAGGGATCGGAGGGGATCACCTTTCTGGACCAAAAGAGGGTGGCTTCAGGTTTGTTGCACTGTGCAGGTGGAAGAAAGAGGATCAAGAATCTGAACCTCGATTTTCCTATAAATGGGGCTTGCATTTGATATACAGTATTCACTGGAATTCTTTTGCAAATGTCTCCATGACTTTTCTACAATAAATCTACCTATCTGAAAGTCTTGGTTCCTTCAATGCCTACTTATCTCTTTCTGGTTCACCTTGTCATGAGAAACCTGATATTAACCTTGGACCCCTCCTTAATCAGTGACAATTGGCACTGATAAGTGCTGCCAAGTGAACGTGCAAGGTGTCTGGACCCAGGAGCCATGTTCTTTTGGTTCAACAGAGTTAGAGGAAGTTGGCCTCCCAGCATTCTGCTTTCCTTCCATCAATGTTTGCCTCCCCTTGGCAACATCCAGAAATAAGACAGAATTTAACAAAGGGACAGTTCTTGCATAGAAGATCAGAATGTAGGCCAGCATTTAATTCCTAAAGCAGCCAATCAGATGCTTCTGGGATGCCCAGCCAGACCCAATCTCAACAGCGTTTTCCTGGATGGAGCATTTCATGACCAAGAGTCCCCTTCTCTACCTATTTATCTAATTCCCTTTTAAAATCATTCAGGTTGGCTACCTTGCTAATCTTCCTACCTTTATGAATATACTAAAAAACCATTGGCTCCAATGTTGATTTCTATCTCTCCTGCAAGGATTACTCAATTACTCCTACTTTTTAGTTTGTAGATCCTGCCAAAAAAGAAGGAGTATATCAAACAATACTCGAGATGTTTACAACCATTCCCGTTTGGACACCTAAATGTTATATAAGACCCCTAATGTTTATAGGATTTTATTTTTTTATTTTATTTATTCAATTTGTATAGCTGTCCATCTCAAACAAGTGCCTCTGCACGGTGAACAATCATAAATATCAATCACTTTGACTAACCCTTTTAGAACGAGGGCCTTCTCCACCTCCTTTGTGGATTGCAGATACGTTTAAACCAAACTCCGATGCTGCTTGGCTTAAAGGACCTTCATTCTCCTATAAAGAAAAAAAATATTTTGAAGTTATATGTGTCAAGGCTTTCCAGAAAGTATTAGAAATTTCCAGTTTCCCCTGACATCCCAGGCTGTTCAGTTTGTAAGTTTGCATGCTTACAAAGCCAGATTCTTCTCTGTTCCCTTCTTTATGCATTCTGCTTCATACACTTCTGCCAGCTGGCTGGGAATCATGGGAACTGAAATCCTCTACATCACAGGACACCAGACTGGGGGAGATTGCTATGGGCCATGGTAATTAACTTTTTAATTAAACTTCCACCCCCGTTATTTTAAATCCTGCCATCTTAAAGCAAAAACCTATAAAAGCCAGCTTGCAACTGTTATAAATAAAACAGCACCTGAGCCAAGCTGCCCATAAAGTTAAGCATGGCCTTTGTACTGAGGAATTACTTGACATGCTCCATTTCTATCAAGAATACACCCTTTTGAACAGATCTATCAGACCAGAAATGATGATCAAGTACACAAATTCCAGGCATTGATTTCAATTCAGCTTGTGGTATCTCAAAAAAGAATGAGAGTATACAGGTAGTCCTCGCTAGCCAACATCAATAAGGACCAGAATTTAGGTTGCTAAGCGATTTGGTCATTAAGTGAATTGTCACCTGACTAGAGCTGATTTTACAACCATTTTTACAATGGTCATTAAGCAAATCACCGTGGTTGTTAAGCGAATCCAACTCCCCAATGGATGTTTTTTGCCGGAATTCGCTTAACAACCATGTGATTCGCTTAATGACAGTGTGATTCGCTTAATGACTGCAGCAATTCACTTAACAACCATCATAAAAACAGCTCGCAAATCACAATCATGTGACTGTGGGGGGTGGTGTGATAATTTGCAATGATCAAAAATATGAGTACAGGTCACAAAACACTTTTTCCAAGGATATCATAACTTCAAACTGTCATTAAATGTCATTAAGTGAGGACTATCTGTATAGGGCTTGAAACTGTGGCTCTAGAGAGACTGTCCAGGGCCAAACCAATGCCCCCAATCTTACTCCTCTTGATTTATGATTATTTGGCAATCCCAGTAATTGATCAGCTGCCTGATCTGATGGCTAAAAATATTGTATTGTATCTATAAATATTTTTTTAAGTCAAAAAGCAGCAGACAAACAAAAGGAAGTTATACCTGCTTAGAGTTTTCCTTGAAGGAGGCTTTGAGCTCTACTACTTTTGTGGGTGACACTTTGGACTGTGGTCTCCCTTGATGCTGGCTAATCTTGGGAAGATTCCGGCACGTACTGCTAGATGCCCTAGATGGAAAAAGTGGGTTTTAGTTTAGCGCCTTCCTTAAAACAGTAAAAGAACCAAGGCCAGGGTCATTGGGGGGGCAGGGCTGTCAAAAAGTCAAGTTGATTGCCACAATGGGGCAATCAAAGCCTCTCCCTTTATATATATCACATATAAAAAGGCTGGGGGGCAGTTGCAGCCACCGTTTTGACTTTTTTTGACCTCCATGCAGACGGTCCTGATAAAGGCTCCACAGCAACATCGCTGGACACAGGCACCTCACTCTGCTAACCTCCTGCTTAGACTGAGGCTCTGTGCTACAGGTAGGAATGGTTTTAAGAGATTTGGAGACAGCAGTTTGTCCAAAATAATGCAGTGTAAGACTGGACAGTTTGGCTCAAAATGTCTTGTCTTGGCTCAGCCACTTCATTTCTAAGGCTCACTTGGAAGAATTCTTTTAACCTAATGGCTCTTAATGGCTTTGAACCAGGTTACCTGAAAAAGAGTCTTCTATGTTCTGCACCAGTGTTTCTCCACCTTGGCAACTTGAAGATGTGTGGACT